TACGCGTATAATTGATAGTAGATTTAACATTACAAATACGATTTGATAGTAATATTCACAATTTTATTTCTACTTTAAATTCGTGGGATATCTGCGTCTAATATATTATTCGAATGTATACATACCTATATGTAACACTTCCCAACGAGGTGAGAGGGATGCTTAAGTCCTTAGCCCCTTATATATAGCAATTCGAAATACACCCAGTTAATTATTTAAACAAAAATTTGTCCTATTTTCGTACGCAATACAATCGCATGCACGACGCGATACTGTAAAGCACTAAAATAACATAATGTATGACGCGTGCTACGAGTTTAAAATATATGGTTACTGTGTGACTTTGTGCAAAAAAACATCAAAATGATAAATGCATGCATTTTTCAGTATTTTTTAACAGTGAGGAATTTTGAAAAAAAAATGGAAGCCGTATAACGTACTTACTTTTCTATGCGCGTAGAGTGCGCAGACTAATTTAAATTAATGTGTGGCAACAGAAAAATAAATAACACTGCTACAAGATCATTTGGATGAATAATATTATGATGCAATCAAATCACGATTATTGATAACAGTTGATATATAATATATAATATTTTATATATTACTATCGTGGTATGGCCTCTTTGTTTTAATATTCATGAACCGTCGTTGTGCGCGCATAATATATTCGAAAATAATAATAACGTGACTTTTACGAAGAGTACAAAATATAGAGATGAGAAAAAAAATGAAGAATTTTGATGTTATGTTTTATTACATTTGTAAAATAGCGTCGCACAAAAATACGTTTTTACAGTTCCTGCATAAAAAAAGTATAAATGCCTGCGAGGAAGAGGTGTTACATCGATTGCGTATTTTTTAATCTGAAAAATCTGAACAAGGTGGAGCAACAATTTTTCCAAATACGCAGACTCGTTTTTTTTTTAAAATTCTTTCTATCCTTTTCAAATTTGTTTTCATACACAATATACGATATACATATTACACATAATATTAAAATATTTTAACCCTAAGTGACGCACATGGTATCATACATATACCACATAGCTGCACGAGCGAGATAATTTTTCCCGAATAATATTTTTAATAACATTTTAGTAATCACTAAGTGTTCATTATTAAATATTTACATTAGAAATTATATAAATCATTTTTTTACACTCAATATTGAAGTAAGTATTTCTGTAATTTATTGTTACATACGAATTAATTAAATTTTTGTGATTGTATGATAATTACTAAAAGATAACATTACTCAATGGAGTATGGAACAATCACAAAACAAAATACATGTAGACTTATAGTATATTAAAAATAGATTATGATAATTAATCATAAGATGCACTTCACCAAAAGGTTTGAAGTTTCTAAAATAATAGTACATTGTATTTTGTTCAAATTAATATGCGTATGAAGTCAAATATTCGACGAATAATTCTTATTTTTAATAATATATTATTATACTTAGTAAAGAAATAATAAGTGTTTTGTTTTAGTAATGTTTTTTTTATCAATACCATAAACAATAATACCTGATATACGAAATCGATTATTTTGTCGGCAACAACACTAACAACAAGTATATTGTTATATTTTTATAAAATTGTTCTCTTACTTTTTACCACAGAATCGTCAACCCACTACCAATACATCAATAAAACATTTATATTAAAAAATAAAATATTGATGAAGGTTTGAAGTCAATGTGACAATATTATATACTAGAAGTGGCAATTTCACGAGCGTTTATTTATTGTATTTAAATTTATTTTCAATTGTTTGTTTTATCTTTATTGTAATAAAAAAAAGACCCCTGGCTGCATGGGCCATTGGGTTGACAGAAGATATGATTAATTAACCGTCTATACTTATACATTTTTATATCTTGTTTTGAATATTAGCTGCTCTGACGAATTGGATGATGTTGGCGATGGATTAAGAGTGATTGCTTAGTATTTCGGCTAGTGATTTGGGCAGGTTTTGACTTGCCGGATATTGTGGTGTTTTCAATTTTTATAATAAATTGTGAAGGTAAACGTTGAATGGTACTTTTTAGTCAGTCGGTGTGCGCAATCGTTTCGCGCTTTTAACGCGGTTAAAAAGGTAAAAGTGTGCAATCGTGCTGCACTGAAGACGAGGAACGATTACCGAATTCGGAAGATTTCGTGTTCCGTGTCACATAAAAATGTAGGTTGACGGTGACAAAAACGACCTACGGGTGAAACATGTATAATACAGATGAGCATGCATTAACTGTTGTAAGCGTTCGCGGTCAGATAAAGAGAAATTGACAAAGTACCTACAAACCTATAGTACGTACCTCCAATACGGACTCACAGAATACCATGTGCACATTATAGCCTACGGCGTATGGCTATTGTTGTGCAGAGCTCGTGTAGTATACATTTCCATTAGGTAATATATTATTATTATTATTATTATTATTATGATAGTTATAATTATCATAATGCATGTACCTCGCGAGACACACAATTGGTATTCAAATACATTTGCCCAGACAACGACGACGTCGGCACGGATGGTGTTCGAAACGAAAATTAAAAAAAAAAAAACGAAAGGCATTAGCAATCCGGTCGTCTCTTCTCCTTCTATACAGAGTGATTCACCAAACGTGGACCCTTTACTTTTGTCCTTTAACAATGCGTTTATTATTAATTTTAGTCCTGATCTTAGGAATTTTTAACTATACCTTAGGACTATATTATTTTAAGTAATTCAGTTTTCATTGGGTATCGTTTAAACAGTGCACTGTGGCTGTACAAGCATATTTTCTTCGATTAATGAGAACCAACCATCTCTTACGAAAAACCGTTTAGTAGATAATTTTTTTAAAAATATAAAATATATTATGTAATATTTAATCTAGTAGATACTTATTAAACATGAAAAGTTTTTTTAACAATTTCAAAAATATCATAGATTAATATTAATGTTCATTACTATGACACCTATGGCACATTCTAAATTCATCATAGACCCATAAATTCTAAACCTATTACCAGTACATTATATGTTAATAACTCAAAAACTGCTCATTTAAATTTCGATTTATACCTATACATTAAAATGTTTAAAAAAGTCATCTCCTTAACAATTCACAGAAAATATGACAGTTGTCATTTGGAAAACAAATTAGTAGGTATTGTTACTAATTATGACATGGTATGTAATTTCGGGATATTCCTTAAGCTGTACATGAAAAATCGAAATATTTAAAATGTGGTAGTCATAAGTATACGTGTTCAGAAATATTCAAAACTGAAAAAATTAAATAAATTGATCATATTTTGAGAAAGAAATGGGGTGGGTTGAAATGAGGTGCATGCTGAGTGGATCACCCTGTATCGGGCTGTATATTAATACGTGTGACCGGTGAAAGCAGTGACGCGTACCTATCCCTATCGTCTTACGGTGTGACGTGTGACGTGTGACACGTGATACGTATATTATAAAATAACAACAATAAATAATATTTCGTCATCGATTGTGCTCGGACGACTGCTGTTATGATAGTAATTTTACGCGGCCGCACATCACTTTCGTCCCCAACATTTTGGTGACTTTTGGCGTTTAACCATTATAATGCTCATTGCATCGTTGCAGCACTCGTACACACGCGATATTGTATAATAATAATAATAATAATAATAATAATAATAATATGTTTCGTCGGCGGTGACGTTTTATCGCAGTCGAGTGCGCGTGTTCCGGAAAAAAAATATAAAACTAACAGCATCGTGTCGTAATGATAATATCATAGGGTGAGCAATTGAATTTTGGTCACGTCTCTGCGACGCCATCGTAGAGCGTAGTCCGCGTACGCCCGTCGCGTGACGAAACGGTCAAATTTTCATACTCAGATTGTTTTCCATTTTCGTTTCTTTCTGTTCGACGTCCACCGCTGTGGTCGGTTATGATAATGACGACAGTAAATTATTACGATGAACCGGTGCGGCAAACGTTCTACTTAAACAGAAATCCCTTTTCTTGTAGCATTTTTTTTTTTTACAACCAAGGAGTGTCCTTGATCCTTTCGTCGTTCCACAGAATATAAATATCGAGCACAAATGTGCTCTTGTGTATACCACCCACATTATTGTATATTATTATGATATCGTTTATCCTCGATTTCAAGAAAACGACTTTTTCGTTTATAAATATTTCACTCGAAGTTAAGAATCAAATGTTTTAACATATTTTATCGTGTAATGTCAAATCACATGATCGATGATGGCTTATGCGATACGACAAGTATCATGAGAGAATATATATAATAGCGAAATCGAGAAAGGAATATGAAATTAATATATTTAGAGACTATACAATCGCTATTTTATTTTTTTCTAATGAACGCACAATTTATAAATGAACGGAAATACGCTATAGGTGGCCACCGCATGTTTTAGACATAGCGCTGTACATATTTCAATATTCAATTTAAAGATGACGCTTTTTGAGCTGGGTCGGAATAGGGGAACCGAGTTCATTCGCGCCTCCCCCACATAAACCACAGAAATTGACTCCGGCATAGCCCAAGAGATGGCAGGCATGCCGCCAATTTCATTTTTTTTTTTTGGAAACTACCCTCCCCAAAGACTCGCAATATTTGCGCCTCGATTGTCAATACGCGACACTCGGGGATTTTCTTATTTCCTAGCCCGACAAAAAACCGTCTTCAAAACGAATCGTCGATCTCTCGCACAAAATATGTCGACGAACAAATGTATATATAGTACCTATTACCTATATATTATTATCATAATATTATACAGTGAAACTTCCACGGAACGAAATCCTCGTGGGCAACAATGAAAAATCTATTATTATTATAGAGAAATTCGTTTTATTTTTTTAGAATGAAATAAATTTGGCCCTCAGAGATGTTTATTGTGGACAGAAAATGTTGTTAAATGCAAGTCCGCCGAGTGGAAGTTTCGCAGGTAACATAATCATTCGTCAATCGTATCCGTACTCACCGATGACGGTGCCGTAGCTGAAGAATAATTGATGGAACTGCGTGGCGAAACTGGTGAAGAGACATCCCAGCGCGGTGATCAGGCCGCCCATGACGGCCGTCAGTCTTGTGGATTTCCGCCGGCAAAACGCTATCGTCACCGGCGACAGCAACAGCGCCACTCCCGTGGACATTGCTCCCAGCCATCCTGCGCACACAAACACACAAACGTTAACCCGAGCATATTATACAAACACCTCGTTATTATTATTATTATTATTACAGTCGGGACATTTACATATTTTTAAATATATTATTATTATTATTAATATTATCGGTACTCGCGTAGGCAGCTTTATGCATAGGTACCTACGACATATTATTATACGGGGTGGTCCATTTGTGGACCGCTGCTCTGCGCTTGATTTACAATTACATTTTTTTTTTTTTTACCTTCGGACGCAACGTAGTTCGTCTAAAGTAAGACGTAGGTATATAGAGTAATGTTTTTGAAAAAACAATTTTGTTTCTATTTTTTATCGTACCTAATATAGATGCTTTTGGTTTTCATGGACGAATAATTTTATGGTTTTACTGAAAATGTCGATGTGTGAAACATGCTAGATATCGATTTAGCCCTGATCGGCATGTATTATATTTAAACATTTATAATTTGGGTCGGAAATCAATACATGGCTACCTATTTTTGTGTTAAATGTCCCTAGAAAACAGCTTTAAAAAATGTACCACCCTGTATGAAAGAAAAATATGTAGGTAGACCAACTAGGTAGGTAAGTGCATAATAATAATATATCGATAATCCCGTCGGAAGGATTTGTCCGGGGGGACATGCTGCACGCGTGCAATCTGTGGCTGCTGTTGGCTTATGATATATCGTAATATTATCATAATTTTACACGTATATATATTATCCCCAGAGATTAACCCGACTGATTTTATCGTTAATACCGGAAATCTGTAAACTAGTAGCTGACCTTTTGTCGTATACTTTTGTAACGTGTTCAGGGTGACCTGATTACCATATAGGTAATTATTATAGTTATCCCGGTAAGGATTTTAATTCCGTATGGATAAGTTTTCCTTGGGTGTGGGAGGTTTCAACAATATTGCAACTGGTTTTTGTCAATAAAAAGACACGCGTAGGTCCGCGTGTCTAAAATTAATAACATAAAAATATATAAGTGTGAGTTTCCATGTGTTGACGGCGAATGTCAAAATGTCAAAAGTTTGACACAGTAGGTACTTACGACTACCGTGTGTCATTTTAGAAAATATATATAATAATTTGGATGAAATCGAAAAGTATCTGTTTATACATTTTGTGCCGGTCTATAATCATTCAATATACTGTGTGATTCATGTTCATATGTGGTGTAACAATAAATGTAGTTACACCTTTAACTAAGTCCATATTGGCATACCACAATAACACGATGATAATACGATCGACGAAGATCTGTTCAAGACGACATAACGAATAATGCTAATACAGGGCCGGTGAGTGTGTGTAAAAAAAACAGTGAGAGGGAGAAAGAAATAACATCGTCTGCAGTCGTCGAAAATATTTCAATAATCCGTAGGTACCGCCGAGGCGCCGCCAGTGATTTTATACCGGTATATTCAATTATGTATACATATCAATTATAAATATATACTCTATAGTAGGTATGTATGATGTTTGATCGGGAATGTATTTATTTATTTAAATTAATGACATTCAACTTTTAAGAACAAAATATTAACAATTGAAATTAAATTAACAGATTTTATAATAAGTTATACATTAGACGACTGCACTAGGTAGGTATAAACAATTACAATTATTGATTTAAAAGATCATACAAATTAATTTTAAATTGTATTATTATAACATAAGATATAATAGTTAACCAGATACGAAAATGTATATAATATTATTGGCTATTTTAATCAATTTACAAGAGAAGCGTTTTTTTGTAATATAATATTATTATGTTATTTGTTGTCGTCAACACTAATAACTGTAAACTGTAGTTAAATTGTACAACAACAAAATTGATATGACCGTAAGAAATACCAAAACTTTCCGGCAGTGCATTTTGTGGTAATATTAATGTAAAGTTGCTAAGTATTCGCTACGAGTAGATTTATCGAACAGTGAATTCATACTATACATATAAGTACAACAGTGTCAAGTAAAATCATTGATTTCGAAATTCATACGAACAAACAAATATGTTAAAATTAGCTATAACTCAATGACTGTTGTAATATTATGAAATTATTTTAAGCATAGGAAAAACACACTGACGTTCATAGTTACGTTCAAAATCTAGTTCTCATCTTAGCTCAATGTCTCCTCTTTTATTTTTCTTTATTTTGCAATTCCCAAAATTACATCTCTATATAAGTAGTACCGTAGTATCGTACTTATACGCACTATAATGCGTCCACACCACCTGTGTTCGGGACTTAAGGAACACTTACACTAATCGACAAAAACTCCAAAACTGTAAGTTGTAGAACACTAACTACAAATTGCATTGAACCCAAACTATTGCACATCGGTATATTAAATTGATCGTTTGAAATAAGTACTTACTTAATGTTTTTTTTCGTGTCGTGGCCATAGAGTAAAAAATAATACAATTTTGATTTCAGAAAATGTTATAACTCGATATAATTATTTATCGGCAGGTACTTTTGTATTCAAATTGTAACTTGATATTATAATACCATTTGAACACGATATACGACATCGTAATTTATTATTGAACACTCTGTTTTATTCAAAGAAAAACATTAACATCCGAGACGTAAACCTTACGCACACAGCTGTTTACTACCGTTACATAATATTATACAATTATGGTCAATAAATATTACATTATTATGTAGGTAACTTTGTAAATATTTTATAATGGTTTTTTTTTATTTATTAATGAAGCCGGTCGATACTAATTATAGATATTGTAAAAATAAATTAACTTTTAATCACGACCGACTTACTATAATAATATATAATAAAATTGGATTACAATTTAATGTACTATGTAATGGTCGTTTAATGTAGGGACATTAAACTTCAAATTATACATTTTAATTTTCTCTAATACACTAATTATAATAAACGTAGGTTTTATCGCGGAAATTCGTACAAATCGACTTCAAGACGCACAATAGTGGGCGTAATAATATATTATGATTTCACACGTCATATTATACCTACGTTACGAAAATACAAAGTTCGTACTTAAATAACCATTTTAAAATATTAATATTATGTCGAGCTCGAAATCTGAATGAAGTACCAGCTATTTCACCGTCGAGTATTATTATGGTTTTATTTTTTGTTTTTTGGCATCGTTTTTGATATTGACATCTGGTAATTGTTATAATAAACCAAGAACTATGGTGATATCATCAAGTCTGATATTAGTAAAACAATTATTTTATGCGGACATTAATTATTGTCGGAAAATGAATGGGTCCTGTTTGAAATTCAAAAACGGCGTTATATGTCAATCTATAATATTATTTACGTAAAATATATATCATTTTACTGACTCAAGCCCGTAAACTAAATGTTCTGGAACATAAACAATTATGACCGGTACAATTTATAATATGACGGTCACCATTTAATGTTAACGTTTAGCTGAAATCTCTCGTTGACCCATCATTTATTGTGAGCGAAATTTCATCCAAAATCCTCAATGTTAATCTCCATTAGAAATGAATCATTTATATAAACTGATAAACTGCTAAGGGTCTGACCGTTTTTGGTCAAGTGAATATACGTATTCTGAAATAGTGTTATTTTCAAGCATTTTGCATATTTTATTATTCGTATAATTTTTCATTCTGTAGTTAAAATAATATATATTGTAACAAAAACCTTTTAACAGAGTATTTTAAGTACAAAGATATTATTATTTCCCAACTATTATAAGAAGAGATAGGACGAGGACAGGTTTACAATGAGGATATTTTGTATTCAGGATTTGCGAACCAAAAAAAAAAAAAAACGACTTGGATTTAGATTTTCAAAACCATTGTAAATAGAAGGTAATAAATTAAATTGTAAAGGAAGATAATATTATAATTTGCACATTTACTAAAATAATCATTATGATCTGTACATTTATGATGGCGATAAGTATAATATTCGATTTTTATTTTAAACTTTAAAAATTATTTTTGCTTGGGATGTTTCTCAACTTAGTGAATGAAATAACAATAATAAAATTATTGGGATAATATGAATATTGGACTGTAATATAATAACTGTATAATTTATAACGCAACCACGTCTATGTGGATACAGATATACATATTATTAATATTATACTCAGCTCATTGTGCCCACAACGTTTCAACCGACATAAACCTGTAGTTGGTAGTTAGTTTCCATTTTTAATGGACATACATTATCCCGTTCGTTCCGGGCAAAGAGTAAACGACAACGTTTAAGTAAATAAACCATAAATTCCGAGACGTTATCGAACCAACCGGGAAAGGGCCGCTGCAGAAGAAAAATCGCGTACCGTTAACAATAAAATGGGTATTTTACGGGATGAACAATAAACACAATGTCAATGCACTTTCGTGTGCATCGAAAGCAATAAAGAAGACGCATCGTTTCCTAAATTACCGAAAAAACACATTCATATACACGACGAAAAATCGTATACATGGCGAGAGGTTTTTCTGGGTTTATTCCGCCGCTGCGCGTATACGGTTTTATCGTTTTCCCCTTTCGACGTCGTACAAAACAGACGACAAACTACGTTTTCCGCAAAAACCGTGTTTTTAGCTGCAACGCGCGCTTATTTATTTATATGTTATTATCATAACGAAAATAATATTAACATTGTATGTGTAGGTAATGTGGACCACCGTATAATACAGACGCAATACTAGTATTGTTATATTTTCACGTCTACTGATATCCAACCTTGTTTATATGATATTTTACTCATTCGAAAGAGGAACTTTTGTACTTGGCCTGTATGCGTTGAGAACAGTTAGCCTATAAAATAATATCGAGTTTACAGTTATCACATTGATAAAAGAAAAAATGAAAAGTTAGTTTAAACGTTTGAAAAAAATATTTTTATGATCATTTAACTGAGCGTACAATCATTTGAGTTCAACGATAGAATATAAAAATAACAGGCAGGATTAATTAAATATTAGCCATGTGAT